TTTAAAAATGCAGCTTGCATTTACATTTATTCTCATGTAAGATACGATTCTGATATTTCTTAGCAGTCTCTGTTAACCTCCTTTGCCTTTTCTGTGTATAATCATTTATAAGTCAGACATTATAGTTTTCTTATATTTCTTTTACGTAATTCTGTTATTTGCATTTATACTCACATTCGAAACATGCATCACATTGTTCAGCAATCTCATTTTTTTTGCTATTATTTTTTCTAAGTATCTCAGAATTTATATTTTTATTATTCATTTTAAAGTGCAAACTTTGATTATATTATTAATATTAACTTTATTTAACTTTATTATATATGCTGAATTATAGATCAACTCAAAATCTGATTTAATTATAAAACTTCGCTTATAGTCAATTTCTGAATTAACTAATAAATAAATTTTAAAACTTAATTTTTATTTTTTACAATATTTTATTCAAGAAATTTATAAAAAGTATACATAATATGAATTAGAATTAACTAAAAAAATAATTAAATCTCTTACATTTTAATTTTATTAATATCAATTTTAAAGTATTATTACTTATAGTATTTATAATAAACTTTATCGCTAATTAGAAGTATATTTCTGATTTGCTGATCATATAGACCATGAAATACGAACTCTAAATAAATAGTAAATAGGAATGCACTTCTGATTAGTAGTAAAGTTCACTATATACTTATTATATGACAAATTATAATAATTTTCACTTTGAACTTAACAATAGTTTCTGAAACTATTATCTAGTTTTAATTTAACATTATAAATATTAAAATTTTTTATTTAATCTATTTTAAAATTTGATAAAGATATTTTTATTAAAGGTTTATAATTTTATAATTTTTATAAGTTTTAAGAATAATTTATTAATTTTTTATATTGTTTAATAAGATTTTATTATAATTTATTAAATTTTACCTTTTATTATTTTAATAATTTAGATAATTTATAAATTTTTAAGTTTTATTTAATAACTTTATATATAATATATTAAATAAAAAAAATAATAAATTTTAAAAATATAAAAGTAATTAATATTATTATATAAATTATATCATAAAGTAATAAATATATATAATTATATTTTTTAAAATAAGAACTAAATAATTATAAATTAAAATTTATATTTATTATTTATGTATTATCACTTTAACTGTTTTGCTTACAAATTTGTAGACAATTTTATTTTTAATTACAATTCTTTTTAATTATTTTTAAATATTTTAAAATATGTTATTAAAAAAATTAATACTTTTATAATAAATTTTATGATGTTTTTTAAGTAAAAATTAAAAAAAAAATGTAATTAACTAGTGATTTTTAAAGATAAATAATAACAAATTATTATAAAAAAATTAAATTTTAAACTTATATATCTTATTATCTATCAATCTCAAAAATATAAAAATATTACCATTTAATAAATCATAATGTGATGAATCCAATAAACTAAATTTTATATTTTTGTAATTATTTTTTATTAAAGATATGGTAATGCTTATATTTATTATAAAAATTCAAATCCAGTAGTAAATACATAAAGATCCTGAAAACCAGATATATATAGTAAAAAAAATAAACTAAATTGTCTAAAATGTTTTTGCAAGTTAAAAACTTATTAGTCTAGACCAACTAGTTACCCTGTCATATTCTAAAGAAAATCATTAATAGAGTTTTCATTAACATATAACAACTAGATTATTACTATATCCTTCTTTTACTTAATAATAATTCATATCTTAAATTTAAATTCAATACAAAAACAAGTAATTTGAATTATTATTAAACCAAAAAAGAAACTAATAAAAAAATTTGATTTCAACAAGTTCTTAGCTAAGTTACCTGATTAATTTCTAGTTATAGTGACTACCTATTATAAAGATGCTTATATTACTAAGTTCTGTCAAAGGATTTTTGGTACTCTTAAACTTTTATGCTAATATGTCTATCAATTCGACTTACAACTATTAACAATCATTGCATAGAGCTCAAATCACATACACTACCCTCAGAAAAGTATCCGATCAGCTAAAAAAAAAAATTATTTAAAATTTTAAGTGTAAATTTTTAAAATAATTGAAATCATCAATAATTAAGAGATGTCTGATTATTTTTTTTATAATTTGCCTAAGCTCACCATCTTTATTCATAGAATTTGATCATCCAAATCTTTTAGCATTTGATCCATTATTAGAATTAGCATACTATATAATTACATTTGTAACAGTACATTTTAAAAACTTTAAAATGTGTGTAAAGACTTTGTGAGTCCTTTTCGCTAATTTTAAACTGACAATTTATCTGCATTTAAAGTCATTTAATTTGCAATTTTTTTTCATATTGAATAGTGTAATTTTTAAAAGATTAAAATTGAAGTTGTTTTATGTTTTTGTATATTAAACCTAATCTATGCATTATTATACAAATATAAATATATGCACATTATTGTCAAATTAAGAGGTTATTTAAAAAAATTTTTATTTAGTTAATATGTCCAATCTTGAAAAATTTAAAAAAAACTTAACCAGATACTTTTCTGAAGGTAGTATAGTTACGAAAACTGAAAAATCCTGCTAAGATTAGCAGATTCTTTAATGTTAGAGATCTAAAAAAGAGTGTACTTGTTTAAAAAGGTAATGGAAAAATCATTATATGAGATTGGTTGATCTAAAGTTGTTATTAATCCTGATCATCATTTAATATACTTCCTAATATCTACTTTTATGAGCAAAAAGAAATGAAAAAAACAGCTATGAAAAGTGATGAAAAAAATAAAAAAATATCACCATTTACAGAGGGTGGACAAAAGTTTCTAGATACCTTTATAAATGCGATTTAACAAATTTTCATCATATAATTGTGATACTATACTGCGGTTATATGATTATCTATTATTTATTTACATAATCAAAATAAAAAAATTTGTGTTGCTTTAGTTGTTTTGATTTAATTCACTTAATCTCTACTAAATTGAAAAATAATGGGACAAAATAAAGAATTAACCAAAGAACAACACGAACTCATATTTTACTTGACCAGCCCAATATCCTGATCTTAACCCAATTGAAAATTTATGGACTGATATTAAAAAAAACATTCATGCATATAAAAAACCACCATTGAATCTTGCTGACCTTAACTGCTATGTTAAAAAGGCATAGCGAGAAATTCCAATGCATACTATTAAAAATTTAGTTGATAGCATATTACAGCGAATTCAGACTATAATTGTGGCAAAGGGAGGCCCAACTAAGTACTAAAGTTTAATATAAAATGTATACCTTAACCAGCTCTAAATAAAATAATATTAAAATTATTACTATTAATGCTAAAGAATTATAAGTTTTTTATTTGATGAAAAAGTGTCCAGAAACTTTTGTCCACCCTCTGTAGATTAATAAAAACTATATTTTGAAATAAGAGAATTTGGAGAGAATAAAGAAAGAAAGAAGTTTGAAAAAGGAGTTTTATATTTTATTTATAGACTAAATCGTAGTTGTCTTTGAATTTACACATTTTTACATAAAAATTCTTGGTTGAGTGATTGCTAAAAAGAGTTATTTTATTTTTATATTTTTATAATTATTAGATAATAAATTATTTTTAAAATTAAAAAATTTAAAATTTAATATATATTGATAATTATTAATTACAAAAGTTTAAAAATACTACTATTAGATACATCATAATATAAAAAATCTAAAATTTTATTTATTTTTTTATAATCATTAAATATTAAAATATTTTAAGTTTTTTTTACACGCAATAGCTCTGCATAATCTTTATTAAAAGTAAAGTAAAAATTATAAGTTACAGATGAAAGAGTACAAAAATCTATTTAATGAGACTAAATCAAAATTAACCTCGCATTATTCTAGACTAATCTATCTTAAACAAATTTAAAATAAGTTCAACTATTTAGTAGAGATCTGATTATTACTAATTCAAAAATTTGACTAATTAGATCTAAAGTGAAAAAATTTGTAAAATGAAGGCGAAATACTAAAGGAATAAGAAGTAAGGTCAGAAAAGCTAGTGAATATTATATTAGTTTTTTGTTCAATAAGAGATATATTGTAATTAATCTTAAAGCAATTAAAAGTAAAACAGCAATCAATCTAGAAGGTCTTAATCTTGGTATATGTAAAATAGTAAGTTGAGAAAAGTAAACCAAAGATGAGTGATTTATTGTTAACTATTTGGTATAACCACTTGTAAAGAAAAGATGATACTATATCTTTGATTAAGTCCATAAAGTTAAAAGAGAAATAACTTAAATTGAGATTTTAAATGTTTATGAAAATAATATTGAAGATATCAAATTGAGGATTAAGCTTAGTTAGATGTTAGAAAAGAAAGGCAATGGTATCCAATATTATGTTGTTGCTTTGGTATAAAGTAGTCTGGTATTATCAAATATAATCAAAACTTTCTAAACTAACTAGGTATTTAAGATAGAATCATGATAAATTATACAATTTAAGATAATGTCATTTGAGTATCTTAAGTGTCAGGAGAAGCTTCAATAAGAGTTTGACTTTGAATTTATAGATAGAAGAGACTTTATATGATGTATCTAAGATACTTTCATTGTCATTAAAAATAAAAGCAGTGCAAATTCAGTCTACATCTAATGAGAAATATTTATAAAAATATGAAAGTGATTGGAGATTGTGAAAATCAATAGAATTGAGAAGACCTTTGACAAATTATTTTAGTGACGTTAGGATAGTTTGATCATTAAATTTGAGAAGATAATTATAACCTAATGTCTATAATATTATGATTGTAAAAAGACTAATTTCTTTGACGAGTCAATCAACTTCATTATTATAGTAATCATTAGCATATGCTTTAATTTTATAAAAGGTCATCATAATATTTCTGTTTTTAAGAGTAAACATCAAATTGGATAATAAAAAATTTTGAATGTAAGATTGTAGATAAGGGTATATATAAAGAAATAAATCATTTTTAAGTAAGAGAAAATGGTGACTTGTGAGTCTGTAAAAATGTTAATATTAGCGTTAATCAGTGAGATAAAAATTGTAGTCAAGACTGCTACTAATTCTGCTAAAGAAGAAGATAGTTGAAAAAGAGATAGAGAAATATTAATAAGTGAAGAGATTCTAAAGGATCAACTTATAACCAGGCAACCCTTATATAAGATACTGAGCTACTTAAATTAGAAAGAGAACTTTCAGTGTAAAATAAAAGATTAGTTAATTACGAATATAAAATTAACAAGTCATCTAATTGATTTGCAATATCTAAGGTAAATATATTAGAAGAAACAATGGTATTAGAGGAAGGAAAAGATTTTATATTAAATATTAGGTCTAAAATACTATGTAATTAAAAAGAGCTATTTTAAAAATCATGTAAGGAAACAGAAGATAAAGATAGCTAATATTATAGATAGATAAAGCATATAAAAATAAACATAAAGAAAGTGATATTTTAACAAAATATGAATCATATTTGTTTCTCATATTAAAGGGTATAAATGTAATATTATCATTAATAGAGCAGTTATTGCATGTAATAAGAATTGTTTTCTATGAAAATTTCACTTAGAAGTGAAAATGTTGAATGTGAACTATATTGAATTCAATTTTAAGTATTTTGTCAACTATAGATGAGTTAGAAGGAAGATGCTAACTAACTGTAAAATTTGTTGTACTTTTTTGTAAATAAATAGTTTAATTTGAATCATATTATCATATAAATATTGAAATTGTTATGGAATATTTCTATTAGAATTATTGTATAATAGTATATTTTGAAGTTCAGTGAACTATGCTGATGATGTTAGAAGAATAAGAGCGGCTGATAAGTATTTAAGGTCTAGTAAAGTAAAGAAAGCTATTTTGTCTAAAATGGTTATCTGATTGATAAATAAAAGATTCTTCTTTCTTAATTTATTAGTATATTTTCTAAATATAGAAGACAGACAAAAGTATCTGCACACTTTTTTACTTAATATAAAACTTCAAATATTTGTATTAATAATGAAAAATCAATTAATATTTTATTTAAAATTGATTAAAATCTAAATTTTGTACTAAGTAACTAGTACTTAGTTAGACTACTATTTGCCATAATCATGACTTAAATTCATTATAGCATACTATAAATTAGGTTTTTAATAGTATACTTTAAAATTTCTTTTCATATCTTTTTAATATATCAGTCAAGAACAGTAAGATTAGATAGAGGTTTTTATAAGCTCAAATAGTTTTCTTGACTTCAGCCTAAATATTCTTAATTAGATTAAGATCAGAACTTTGAGCTGACTAAGATAATGTTCAAAGATTATTTTTTACTTAAAAAAACATTACAACCTTTGATTTATAAGGCTAAACATTATCTTCTTGAAACTAGCCATTATAATTTAGAAAAGATTTTCTCATAGCCAGAATAATATATTTATGAAAAATAATGATATATAAATTACCAGTTGCTATTTCAGACAATAGAATAATTAGCCTTATACTTTTTTTTGAAAAGCAACCCCAGTACATTTGATTAGGTCTATGTTTTACTATAGCTATAACATAGGATAAAGTCTATTAATTCTTCAATTCACACTAAACCTTACTAGAGCAACTTTATTGAAATTAAGAGAATGTGAATTTATCACTATATAAGACTTTTGATCAATCCACTTTAGTTTAGCTTTGATATTCTAAATACTATTTAAGATGCGTCTCAATATTTGCTAGTGAAATTAATGGTTTTTTTCTTGCAATACAATTTTTAATCCAGCTGAATAGAGGGTTTGTCTAATTGTCTTGGTTGAAACATCTTATCCAGTCTTTCTCTTCTAAAGCTATTGTATTTTAGTTACATATAGATGATGATTTTTAGTTTATCATTTATTACAATTCATTTAAGGTGATTTTATTATAGGATTAGAATTAAAGGTGAATGTTCAGAATGATACATCAATTCAGTTGATCTAGTATTATAGTATTAAATAATAGTATTACAAATAGTTATTACTCTGCAGTCAATAGTATAGCAATGATTTGATAACTATTATTATGTTGATAGCAATAAATTATAGCTTTACGTTATTTTGCAGTTAATTTTTTAATTTTTAACATTTTTTTATTTAGAGTTTCAGAAAAGAAAATTTATTAAAAATAATTAAATTATTATTTTTTATGTTTATAATATAAATAAATACTAATATATCATATGATCGCAATTTGTTATTGTAGTCATATAATTTTTCTAGTATTAATTCACGTTTATAGAAAATGTGTAGATATTTTTATCTACCCTCTATAGTATTGGACCATATATATCTAATAGAGGAAAGTATCTTCCAATTACAGTATTATCATTTGTTTGACTATTTGTAATCATAATATTGAGAGACTTTAAAGTTGATAATAAAGTGGATTACCAGTCTTTAAATTTGTGAAAAGAATTATATGATTATATAGCAAGTGATAATTAGACTAACCATTCGTTAAGTTAAAGTTAGCAATTATAGATCAATGCAATAATATTTAATAAGCTTTTATTATTAATCATCTTTGTGAAGTTAGAGACTTTTGCTTAGATTTGTGCAGAAAACAAGTATTATATTATAAACTAATGAGAAGTGAATTATAGCTATAGGGGTGCTTTTGGTCATATTTATTACTGATTAAAATGTTTTTCTATAAGACTTCATGATTCTATCACAGAATTTGTAGTCTAAAAAGATCAGTTGTATACAGTGAAACTGGCAAAAATTGATGAACCTGTCAAATATTACATATATACCAAATCTGCCAAATCTGCCATATCTACCAAATAGGACACACATATTATTTATTATATTTCTATTATTTATATTCTTATTATTATTTATATCATATTTAACATAATTAGCATATCTGTTAGCTTTGTTATTATTGTCAGTAGTATCATATTTACCATAGATTTTCTTAATTGTAATTTTCCTATATA